TAAATCAAAGTTAGAGAAAACATCTTAAAAACTGCAACATAATAGTTTAAAAACAAAGAATTTTAGTAAAATAACAAAACACCAACCAACAAAGACTGAAGTGCTACGAAAAGTAAATGGTTTTAATTGATATAAAGTCAAACCGCAAGCAATAATACTATAATTGTTCATCTTACAAGTAATATTTCTTTTATGGAAAAAAATTATAGAAGATGAAAAGATGATTGACATGTTATTCAAAACAACTAAAGACAATTTCTCGACTATCTTATTTACAAGGGAGTTTTAGTCTAATAATGAAGGGTAGCATATCCTCCCTTAATTTAGAAGAACAATCATTAAAAAAGGATTGGTCCGACTATAAAAACTATGAATATAAGAATAGGATTAAGAATCTCAAGACATCAAAACTACAGAATTATAATTAAATGATACCGAGATAAAAGAACCTATGAAGCGAGCATGTATTATTATAAAATGTTCAACCCTAGAATGTGGACCATAATGGGAAAATGAAATTTACCTTTAGATGATCCAACGTCCAACAATCCAGATAACAGGATCTTGCAATTGATACAAATGGAAGGTCACTAGTTTGCACAATCATCAAATAAGCCTCTCCAGAACTTTCAGAAGGTATAGTTGCTCCATTCAATAGGAGAACAATTTGATTCTCCTGTTTCAAACAACTGTGGTTACATGAAATCCGGAAAACAATCCTGAAACTAGAAGATGAACAAGTAACTTAAGTTTTCACCTTATATAGAGACAAATCAACACAATGGTAACCATCAGGTATAGATAATAATACAGCTTCAAATGAAGTATAGCCTTTTTTAACATTGCTAGAATTTTGCATATATCCCCTCGCAATGCTTATGCAGTTAGCAACATCTCGACAAGAATCTTCTGATATCTGGAAAGATACATAATCAATCAAGCCACTCTGACAACTTTGACAAGAAGAATCAGCTCGGGTTGTATCCTAGAAGTGGACATAGAAAAAGAAAAAAACATGACATAATCAAATGAACGTACCATGCAAGAAAAAGAGAGTGCTGCATTCCGATGTTAAGATGCTGAAACTGAATACTAAAGTTAGAAATTTAACTAAGTCAAGATGAATTATAAATTGTATAGATCACTGGATCACCATACAAACATGACCTATGACTTAAAGAGGGTCTTGTGTCTTATCTGGAGATACCTCATAGTAAGACACTGACACGGGAATGTTGATAGATGTGGATATTGTCGATGATGGAACAGGGAAGAGTGGCCGTAAATCCTCACAAACTATCTTCCGAGATATTGTTGCAAATGGCACCAGGAATGCGTCCTTGAAACTAAAATTTTAAAGCCAAATAAAGTGCTTTATATCTTCTGAGAAATTAGCAATGAAGATGAGAGTATAAGAGATGGTGCAGGGAAATTTCAGAAGAAAGTTAAGCAAAAATGAAGAGGCAAAATCTAACAATTTTTTAAATGCTACTAATGAAATGGGGTTAACTTGGTGTATGTGCTCCGGAAAAGAAAAAAATACCCTTAATACTTCATCTAGATTTATTCAACAATTCAGAGTGCTTATAACTCATTAGCACCTTATACAAGCTTTCTTTTGGTCCTAAACTCATGTTACATTGAATTCTAATTTTGAGTATAAAGTAAAAGACAGAGGCAGTTTAGAACAAAAGGCATACCTACTCTCCACCTGTTGAAATTCCTTGGCTAAAGTCCTCCGGAGAAACTCGGAATCTGAAAATCCTCCAAATAGAGCTAATTCCCTAACCCTTTGCATGGTTTCTCTGGAAGATAAACAAACTATAAATGGTCAGAGGGGATAAGAATCAGACCATAAGCTTCCATGCAGATGTGTGCTTGTAGCATGTATTTCTATACATATATATTCCACCAGAAGATATGAATTTATTGGACATGTATCCCACAGAAAACAGCCCTTCTTAACAAGCAGTGACATGCATCCAAGAACTTGGGAAGTGCCTTAGTCGTTTCGATATCAGTCAGTTTATGTTCAAATTTCAAACATAAATTCATTTCTTTTATAACAAGTAACTTCTCCTAAATCCTTTCCAAGGACCTGTTCATTTGCTTAAGCCACTCCATGAAATTTAATGATCCAAAATGTCCATATAAAAAAATATTGTTATACAGTAGGCAGGATTGCCACACAAAAGAGTTGCATTTAAACAAGCACTGGTTGGAAAGACCACTTACAAGTCAATTTCAATATCATAATCAGCTTCAGATAGGTCCAGTAACTGCCTTACAGGATCTTGATCATATAAAAACTTCAAGAATATAACAACAAGTTCGCTGCAAAAACAGAAATGTGAAAATATTTCAGCTACCAGAATGAATTTGAAGAATGTCTGAAGGACATACCTGTTGTATGGTAGAAGCTGATCACTGGGTTCTTGCATAAGTAGCTTTATGCATTTGAGCAGCCAATTAAAAAAATTTGAAAACTGGCGGGAAAAGACAATGTTAAGTTGTTAACGATCTAAACTTAAACATCAGTAACCAAAAAAGAAGCCCTACAGCTCAATTCAAAGATTTTAAAACAGACTAAGGAATACCAAATTAGGGCACCTGCTGCACCACAGAAGATAGAATCCTCATAAACCGTTCAACTTGTATTAGTAGCATGCCAGATTTTTCAGTTGCATCACTCATAAGTGTCTCATCCAAACCAATACCCTGATAACGTGCACGCCATCTTGAAAGACCTCTAAGTTCCCCTATCCTGAATCCAATAATTTCTGCAGCAGGCTGGGAAATGGATGTTTATCTTTAGTTTCCTCTCAACAGGAAAAAAAGGTGTCATCAGGGAAGAATTACGCAATTCACAATGGTTTTCATAGAACAAAGAAAGAAATGAACTTAAAAGTACGATAAATAACACACAACTCCAAGTTAGGAAATAGATTAGAGATTGTCTAGAATAAAAATAAGATTGGACCTGTTTCTAACAGGAATTTATTGGGGTGGAGGGCTTAGCTTTTAGTGCCACAATACAACTATATACCTAGCAAGCAATTTCCAACTCCAACAGATGGTCCCCCAAGGCCCCAACTTTACTTCCTAACATAAATTAACTGTTCCCAATAGTTGATATAATATTAATGATTAGAACAAGGGAAAATAGTGCACCTGGAGATGATTGAGGACAATATTTTGAAGTTCTTTTCCAGCACCACAAACAACCTTTGAGACCCGCTTCATGCCCTACCAAATGAAAAACTCATTGGATAAGATATAATATGATCACAGTGTCTTTTTCTGAAATGCACACACCCACACATATATATCTATGTATCTACATGCAAACACATAAAACACACAAGTAAAATATCAAGACACTTACTGCTTCACCGAGAGAGTTGACTAAAAATTGATGAACTGGTGGACTGGTTCGAGCACCACCTAAAAGGCTCAGAAACTCCTCTTGGGGTGATGAGTCTAGCCCTGATGAAAATGAAACAAAACCAATGAATATGAAAATGAGAAACTACAAAAGATATCAAGTAAAATGAATTTTATTGCTATAATCAGCAGTTACCATGGTCAATGATCAAAGTAGATAGTGAATCGAACTTATCATGAAAAATTTTCATGGCATCTGACCACTGCTTAGACATAACTGATAATGAAGCTTGGGTAACCTCAGTTAAGTCCTGGATGTTAGAAGCTTGTTGGGCCACTTGATGGAGTTCATTTTTTCTAAAGTTGACAGAAAGTGAAACAATGAGGGGCAGACCTAGGGGTAAAGAAAGAATGCCTATACAGCATGTTCAGTAATTTCAAATTTTAAAATAAAGTAATCTTTAGAATGTAACTAAAACAGTGAAAAGGCATATACAGAAGATAAAGGTGAAGAAACTCAAATGAAATAGTCTAGGATTACAAAGATTAAGCATAAGTTCAAATTAGCGAGTGAATTGCCATAGTCTGTCCAGCAAACTTGCCTCTTACAAAATATGGAAGTATTGAGTACCAGGCAGTGCAAACCATGCATACCCTGCCCATTCCCCTCAAGTTCTCCTGTGCACATGATTATTAAACGACAAAGGTCTTTTGATAAAGCAACCTAATGAATTCAAATAACACAATAAAGTCAGTTGTCTTTACAAAGCTATTGTCCTTGCTAATTATAATGGATCCATCCTTCCAAATTTTGAAAATGTGGCCACCTGAAGGAAGGATGAACAGACCTTGTTAATTGAAGCATTCAGAAGTCGATGAGTGGCTTGCTTGTCCACAGAGGAACCAGGAACAGAAAGCTCATGTATGTTCTGGCACATTGTTTTGAAGGTGTAAGAGTTTACATGGAAAACAACAATTAAGTGGAAGATCAAACATAAAACTGAAAAAGAAGTTATCTATTACAGCTGATAAATTAAAAATAAAAAATCTAGCAATAAATGTAATAAAATACAGAAAAGGAGAAAAATAGAACAACTTCCATAAACACAAAATTTCTTTAGACATCAGCGGACTATAAACATTGAACAATTTTCTAGCAGTTTGGTTCAGAGTGTTTCCAGGCTTTATACTAAAGCATATAACTCCAAGAAGAGATTCATATAAACTTGCAAAAGTGTATGCCCTGGAAACAACCAGAGCCAGTGGTTGTAAATTAAAACTATAACAGCAAGACAAACACAGAAACAAATATTCATAGGTTAATAGCACAACCATGCACAAAAAGCCTTTTTGAGAAAAGAAATAACTTTTAAATAGGATATACACAAAATAATAAACACAAATTTAAATAAAATAAAAAGAAAAAATTTCTATAGCATTCATAATTCAAAGGCCACTAGCAAATAGAGAAAATATCACCAAAATGAATCAGTAATAAGTATTGTTTAACATATTTGCAGGAAAAGATAAATAACTTACAATTTTCCCGATCTGAAATATTCCAAATATACTAAAACATATGCCTCCATCTTTGTCTCCACTACATAGAATGTTAAACCGCTGGTGTGAAGAGTTTGACAACTCTTGAAATGAATCTTCGCTATCATCCATGAAGCTGGAATCTCCAGAAACAAGTCCAGGCATCTGTGGAGCTCTGGGAGCAGGAGGAAAGAAACGAGAAGTACGGTCTTCATATGCAGAAAAGTTACTAAATTCATCCTGAAACCCAAGTTATAAATAAGTGGGAGAAGTGTAATAGATATGAGAACAGATATTACAAGTCATCAAGAACAAAAATGTCTCCAGAACTAAATAGAAGTAGTCCAAACACAAGCGGAAGCAACATAAACACACTGCAAAAATAGTAGACATTTTCGGAGAAGAAAACAGTACCTTATGCTTTTATTTTCAATTTGTATGACATTAAATGAAATGAGAAAAAAAATAAAAAAATAAACAAAATAAAAAGAACTCATTCCAAAATAATTGATCTTTGGAGAAAAGCTTAATGCTAAAAATAATCCACTTAATAGCCATGCAAAACACAGCTGGTCAAATATACAGGAAAAAAGTTAGGTGATGAGCAAATGCTTCAATCAAGAATTTATCAATTCTAAATTAATAAATAAAAAATACCTACTCTATTAAGTTGCCCATCCTCCTCCCAGTTAAGACACAGAACAGCTACAGCATGGGGTTTCAGGCTTCTTAACAACTTTCCATTCTGCTTCATCCATAAAAAGAGTCTTGAGAAGTAATAAGACCAGAGTATTGAAGGATGAAAAGAAGAAACATTTGGGATCAGGCTAGAGCCCTTAAATTATATGTAGATAAGCTTCTCCATATTTGAGCATGCATAAAGCAACAATTATGCAATGAACACAGTAAAAGACAATCATTTAAATATTGAAGAAAACTTTAAACAATCATTTCCTAGAAGGTCACTTTTAAAAGATTGAAGATACTGCTTGATTTCTCAATCAACAACCAAATCGTGCATTGGTGGATGGAGAAGGATTCTCAAACTTCAACTACCTTAACAACGATATGCAGAACTACCCATCCTTCATGGAAAGGGAAGAAGATCATTGCGAAATTTAAAATTGAGATTGGTGACAGGATGACAGTTATCATAAAAATTTCTGAGATTATTAAAATATTTGGAAATCCATAAAGGACATAGAAGGACAAAATCACAGGTTATAGTGTAGAGAAGTACTGTTCACTACTAATAAGCTGCAATAAGCAAATTAACTAGCTTACAGAATTAAATTAATTATTGCCAATTAAAAGAAATCCAACCAACTAGTGAGTAACATGAACCAAGGTAACTGAACAGGCCACTTACTTCAACATCATGTAAAGAAACAGTTCCATCCTCGAGCCCGACAGCTATTGCTTTACCATCGGGACGCCAGCATAAGGATGTAATACTCTTCCCTGAAGGACCCAAAAACACAGAAAGGCACAAGTAACACCAGACAGCCACAGAAAGTATACAAATTGCCTATATGTATTCCTTGAGATGCCAAATTTTAACAGGTTTTAGAACCCAAGTCACAATTAATTGAAGGATCCACGGCATATCATACAAGAGAAATCTTATAGATAACTAGAGCTAGAATTTGCATGTATACTTCTTTTTCCTTCAACTTTTGTTAAGATTTGAAAAAGAGAAAATAGGCAATCAACAATGAAATAGAACTAAGCCAGGTAATTGTGAAAGTAGAACCTAAAGTCTACATTTCAAGCTATATACAACTTCATCATATCCATTTTAGTGATTCATGAGGTTAAGAGAGAGAGAGAGAGAGAGAGAGTACCAAGAGAAATCGTCCACAACCGCTGCCAATTGAATCGATGCAGCAAAATCTTGGAGTCCTCTGTGACCATTGCAAGTAAATCCTTCTCTGGATTCCATTCCGCAATTTTAATCTATCAATTGAAAGAATGTTTAACAATGAAGACAGTCAATCCATATAATCCAAATATCTTGACACATCTATGCGCGCGCACGCACACAAACAAACATATTGGGGAGGGAAGAAAGCAGTGGAGTGACTAGAGCATAAAACATACCTGAGAGGGGATAGGTTTGTCGAACTGTAGCTGGAATGGAATTACGCGCTGATCCTCGTCAGTTTCCATGGCTAGAACCCGCAGAAAAACAGTGGAATTAGGAAAGGTTATAGGAATAAAAGAAAAGCAGTGGATTTTGTTGAAGCTGTAGAAAGTAAAGCAGAAAAACCTAAAGAACTGAAGCAATTATAGTTAATTTCTGAGGAAGAAGAAAGAGAAGACAGCAAGTAGGAGGAGCAGCTGGCTCTGGCACTTGCTAGTGTAGGCGCTGATGCTTATGATGAGAAGAAAAGAAGAACACAGGAGGGCGGGCTTTTTGTTTGAGGTTAATGTCACTTCCGAGTAAGTCCCTCAAATTTGAAAAATAAATCTCTCCTTTGAGATTTCTCCAATGTGCACATAAGTTTTTCTAAAAATATAAATGGTTTAATATTAATATGATAAAGAACGAAAATAATATTTTTCAAAGGAAATTGACCACGAACGAAACAATGAGTTGGCCTTCAAAACCTTTTTTTTTTTGTTCTCAAGAAGGTAGCGCCGTTGCCGGGGATCGAACCCGGGTCGCCCGCGTGACAGGCGGGAATACTCACCACTATACTACAACGACCTGTTGTTAATTTAAGCAACAAAATTTAAGTATTCTCTTTTTTTTTGTTTTTCTTTCGGACTTTATGCTTTTGCTTCACTTGTTTCCTGTATTTTCAAGTTCTGTGTTTTATGGGTTTGTGTTTGAATGTCTTTGCAAATGCTTCTAAGGACGTATACGGTACTATTTAGAGTTGGGACTGCATCCAATTCCAATGGTGATTTCTTCCTAACCCAGTCGTCTAACTGAGTCTCAACAGGAAGCTATGCATCTCCCATCTTTCCCTCAATCTGATCCAATCCACCTATCTACTTCTTTTCTGGTATGCAGGCTGCATATGGAAATTTTTTTTTATGGTTAGGCGTTAATAGGTATGATGAAGAGCTTATAGAAGCCGAGGGGCTAATTGGACTGGGTAAGGCAACGGGCTCCATGGCAGTTTGAAAAGGCAGTTCCCTGTCTAAAGGTGGTGGAGGGGATGGAGCATCTCAGCAGGATTCAATGTTTTCATACTGAAATTTGTTTTCTTCGTATTTATGATCTTCTCCTAGGTATATGAAACGAAGTTGCTTGTGTGCATTACAGTTGCTGTTCTCAAAAGAGTTGGATAAGAAGCTACTGAATAATTTGACACATTAACTATATCTAGTTACAACAATTATCCCACTCTGTTGTGGTATGGAGCTTCCTCCACTTCCAGCATAATGTCTTCCTTACAGAATGCGAGAGGCTTTTCCCGCTTATAGCTGATTACCATCTATTTATCTAACAAAAATCTTGTCATAGAGAAGCCAGCCACGGGAGAACCTCAAGAACATTATTTTGTAAAGAACTAAAATAAAATTACTCTAGGATCATTATTTTCTAATCCGGCTGATGAGGAGAAAGTGCAAAAATTCAAACCCCGCTGTTCAAGTCAATGAATCCAGTTTCAGGAACTTGAAGATCTTTGGTAGCTTGTCAATCAGATGGTCCAATCATTTTCCCTGGCACAACAAGACTATCAAAATCTTCACTTGACAGCACTCCAAGTTCCAAAGCAGCTTCCTGCAAGATTTCAGTTTTGTTTAGAATATGCCCCTCCAGACATCAAAATGAATCCAACGATGGTGTTCTTTAGCTACACCAGCAATTAGCAACTACGGCAACGAAAAAGTACATGAATTTTGAGTACATGAATTTTAAGTCTTCCCCAGCACACGCATGCTATAATTCAGTGTTTTAAGAAGAGGGAAGGGTAGCCTATCAGAATTGCTTCACATGTGTCTTAACAAGCACAGGTATCATGGAATAGTTTCGCTTACGCACAGTTAACAATTTAATAAATGCCAATCACCGGGTATCCAAAAACTGAACTGCATCCTAGAATAAAATAGAGAAAGAAGTTTTACCTTCAAAGTAGTTCCCTCTTTATGGGCTTTTTTGGCAACTGCTGCGGCATTATCATAACCAATTTTCTGGAACATAAAGAGCCCAGATGAGACATTATCTCAGAGCAAAAAATTTGGGAGGATGTGAGTATTTAAGTGTTTTATAACTTACTGGATTCAATGATGTGACGAGCATCAGAGACTGCATTTAGATGCAAAAATATCAGAGAATCAGCAAGAAACTACCAGGTATACTGGTATGCATTGCATAGCGCTAAAAGATTTTATACAGTCAATAAAAAGAGTTACGACCTCATGAAGTAATTTTGAAATCCTTTCCCGGTTAGCTTGAATTCCTCTGACACAGTTCTTTTCAAATGAAGCAGATGCATCGCCTAACAATCGCAGTGACTGTTGGTAAGGAAATGAAATGAGATGGAGTCAATAGATGATATCTAACTAATAGTATAATATGATATTAACATAGTAGTAACTAGCAAGCATAACCCAATCAGGTCTAAAAAATGCTTATTCAATGTATCCAATAATGCAAGATGAGAAGGAACTGATGATAATCATAAACTTGAACATTGTTTGAAACACATCCTAAGACCTATTTCCACAACAGAAATCTAATTTAATTCAAACTCCTCAAACCATGAAATGTTTACCAGGAGGGCTTTCCCTTCAAATTTTTACAACTTCCTACCTTTTAACTTTCCAAAATAAAAATTACTTGGACAGAAGCACTTTTCCTGATCAGTACACATCACCGCAAGATTTAGCAACCAGTCACTAACAATATGGTTTGATCATTGACCCAAACAATTAGACAAATGCTATAAGGAACTTGAACTTTGGAATTGCATAAAGCTACTTCTCCAGTGAAGATCGAAAATGATAATTGTTACTCATAAAAAGAACATACATGTAGGAGAGCACTGGCAATCATTGGTTTAAATACATTCAATTCGAAGTGGCCATTTGACCCGCCCACTGTGATGGCCATATGGTTTCCCATGACCTGCAAGGAATATTAACTGCTATAAAAGAATGGTTTAAATTAATTGCATCAACAAGAGGCTATCTATTTAAAATTATATTTCATAAGCATTTTACTGACTCCTTCTAAAGATGCTTTCCAGTTGATCTGTATTGTCTTTGTGAAACAAAATTGAAGTATAGTTTACCTGAGCACAAACCATTGTGTAAGCCTCGCACTGTGTAGGATTGACCTTCCCCTGGAACAGTAAAAGCTTGATGAACATGATATAGATTTTCAGTAAATAAAGAAGAATGGACAACGTGGGATTATACAGGCATAATACTGCTGCCCGGCTCATTTTCAGGAATAACAAGTTCGCCAAGGCCACATCTTGGGCCACTGAGGAAGAAACAAAGAAAGCAATAAGTACAGGCAGATAAAGCAAAGGAAAGTTTTGAATATATAGCAACCTTCCTAAAACCGATATCATTCGCAATCTTCATGAGG